GGTCGAGATCTTTCAGTTGTTTAGACAAATCGGCATCATTGCCAAACAAGAAGTCTGTGAATGGGACCGAGCTGGAGCACAAATGCTTGTAGTCTTCGTTTAGCTCGGGCTTGATGTTCTCCCGGCGCCGCATGTTTAACTCGAAATTAGCGGCACCTATCAGAGCAATGGCATCAGTGGCCGCTCTTATTAAATCAGGGGCATCCAAGGCATCTTTGGGAATTTTATCCCGTGCCTGCACAAGTTTCTCAGCCATAGAAACTACAGGAATGAGCCCTTTGACAAGGTTGGATTGCACTCGTTGCAACTTGATATCAGCAGACCTCGTGTCTGGTTTAAGTTTATCCCAAATGAGATGGTTGACCTTCGTGCTGGTGAGACATTCACAGTTTTCTGGCGTATTATAGCGATTCTGTGTCGCCGTCAGAACTTCGTCCGTAAGCTTTTCTCTCATTAAGCCATGGACAATTTTGGCGATCTGCTCATTTATAGCAGGAGCCTTCTTTTGATCAAGTTTGAGATCGTTCGCAATGCCTGACAGTAGGTCAATTTCCCCATCAGGAACATCACGCTGAGATTCAGAGCTCTGATTTATCAGAGTGTTAATGCTCTGCTCAGTTGTTTGAGAACTTGTAGGCTTTTTAGCCCCACTATTTGACACTGCGGACCCAGATTGCTGGTTTTTGTCCGACTGCTGTGTGGATCGTTGGTCCATGTAGGCGGCTATTTCTAGCTGTTCTTCAGTTTCAGCATTTTCCTCTAAAGAACCTTCCTCGATTGCGAGGTGGTCAATGGTGTCCTTCATCTGACCGAGGGATTCAGTCATGGTAAACTTCAGTGAAGTGATGGAAGAAACTAGCAGCTCGCTCATGGAACTGATGGCCGCGACGATGGCCGACTCGCTGTTGCTTGGCGCAGCGCCATTTTCAGCAAGTTGAGATTCTGTAATTTTTAGCTCTATTGACGATTTTTTTTGTTTTGCTTCCAGTTTGGTACGTAGACACCTTCTAATGTACCTCACGGCTAAATTGAGAAATTTTTCGAATTAACTGTTCTAACACCGCGCCGGTTTTTTGTGCTGACCGACTCGAGCAAGGCGGGTAGTGCACTGACCACTTGAGCGGCTGGTGCTTTCTCACGTGACTTCGTAGTGCGTATGACGAGGCAGAATCCGTGTTTCTGCAGCAAAACCTGGCGCATGCGTATACGTTATTCTGCTCTGTCGCGTCACCCCAGTTCGATTGGGACCATGGCGTCCGTTCGAGAGGAAAATCGCATAAGTCCTTACAGAAAACTGCTCATAGATCTGTCGATGGATCTGTCTAGAAAAGATCTGGAGAGGTTAATTTATGCTGTAGGGGATCGTCTTCCCAGGAGAATGTCAGAAAATATGGAAAGTGGCTTGAAGTTATTTGAAGCTCTCGAACAAGATGTACATATTAGTCCACTGGACCTGACCCTGCTGCAGGATGGGCTTAATACAATTGGTAGAGTGGATCTTGCACAAAGAATTCAGGTTTTCTCAAGTAAACTGGACGGAGTAGACACCGATGGTAATTTTTAGCTGTTCTGTTTTTGACTTGTTTTGACAGAAGAGATATATCTTATTAGACGTTTTGTGTAGTATCGCTGAGTATTTTTACAAGTTAATTGTGCCGTATTATGACAAGCCCGTAGGGCGAGTCAAAATACAAATAACGAGTAAAAATACTCAGCGATACTACACAACAAAACGTCTGATAAGTTATTTATTATCCAACACGCCAAACTGTTATTTCAGTGCGGGTGAATTCCGCGGGTATTTATTTACGGGGAGTGCGTGACAGAATTATGCAAAGCGGAACGGAATTCGCGCGTTGTTGTGTTGCTGTTTCTATTTTCGGCTAAACTTCAGAATACCCGGCCACTGAAAAATCATTCATCAAATCCTGCTACCGCAGTACCGCAGTCGACATACTTTACCTAATATCTGCATTATATTAAACATAGTAGTAAGTGTTGAGGTTCGTCTCTCGATACGAACGGATGCCGACGATATTAAACATCACAGAATATTCCGCTTGCATCATACGAGTTGGTGTTCATCTTGTTCCTCCTTGCTACCGTAGTCCCGCAATTTAGGACTAGATGGTTCCCGGGTTCAAGTCCTGGCTGGGGCTTAACGTTGAGTCCTTAAGCAAGACACTTCACTCACATTGTTTCGTCTTCTCGGATAGGACGTAAAGCCGGAGGTCCCGTCTCTTAAAGGGTAAGGGGTAAAAGACGTTAATTTCCCACGCACGAGATTACTTTGTGCTGGATGTCCTCCCCTGGGGTGGGTTGGGTGGGAAAACAGCA